ATAAAGAGAAAACTTCCAATTTGGAGAACCAAGTACAGGAAGCATGCAGAACTCCTAACAGACATGACCAGAAAAGATCTTCAGCACGACACACTGTAGTAAATCTGTCTACTGTAAAACATGAAGATTCTAAAATGTGCACAAGAGAAATGCCAGATCACATATAGAGGAACCCCAATTAGACTCACAGCAGACTGCTCATCAGAAACCCGACAGACTAGGAGAGAATGGCAAGATATATTCCAAGTACTTACAGAAAAAAAAATTGTCAACCCAGGAGACTATATCCCACAAGGATCTCATTTATGAATGAACATGAAATAAAGATCTTCTATAACAAATAGAAATTGAAGGAATTTTAACTACCTGCACAGACCTTTAAAAGATGCTCAAAGATGTGATACAAACAGAAACACAGAAACAGGAACATCACTAAGAAATAAGGTGAAGGCAGAAAATCACCCAGTAAAAGTACAAAAGAAACCCAAATAAAAAATATGACTATTAATGGAAATATGGCAGGGCAAAGTCTTTACTTATCAATAATCACCTTGAATGTAAATGGTCTCAATTCTCCAGTTACAAGACATAAATTGGCTGAATGAATTAAAAAAGAAAACCCAACTATTTGCTGCCTACAAGAAACACATCTCACCAGCAATGATGCATGCAAAGTGAAAGGATGGAAAGAGTTAATCCATGCCAACAGAAACCAAAAAAAGAGCTGGTGTTGCCATCCTAATATCAGACAAAACAGACTTTAACACAAAAACTATTAATAAAGAAGGGCACTATATAATAATTAAGGAATCAATCCAGCAGGAGAATATATTATAAATGTATATGCACCTAATTACAGGGCACCTGAATATGTAAAAAGAAATGTTAATGGACTTAAAGTGAGACAGACTCAAATACAATAATAATGGGGGCTTCAGTACCCTACTTTCAGCAATGGACACATCAACCAGACAGAAAATCAGCAAGGAGACAAACAATCTACACTATAGATCAAATAGACCTAATAGATATCTACAGAGCTTACCACCCTACAGCCACAGAATACAGATTCTTCTCACCAGTGCATGGAACATTCTCTAGGATTAAGTACGTGCTACACCATAAAGCAATCTCAACACATTAAAAAATATCAAAATCATACCATGCATATTCTCTGTCCAGAATAGAATGAAGTTGATAATCAGTAACTCAGGAATACCCAGAACATATGCAAATACATGGAGACTGAACAACATGTTCCTTAATGAACAGTGGGCCATTGAAGAAACCAAAAGAGAAATAAAATTTCTGGAAACAAATGAAGATGACAATATAGCATAATAAAACTAAGAGCACAGCAAAAGCAGTGTTAAGAGGAAAGTTTATAGCAATTGGAGCCTACATCAGGAAATCAAATAAATGAGCTGTCAACAAACAATTGGAAAGGCATCAAATAAATGAGCTGTCAACAAACTACAAATGCTGGTGAGGATGTGAGGAATACCAGGTACCCTAAACTACTGTTGCTGGGAATGTAAACTGGTAAAGCCACTATGGAAGACAGTGTGGAGATACCTTTGAGGTCTGAATATAGACCTACCATATAACCCAGCCATCCTATTCCTGGAAATCTACCCAAGTAAATGAAATCAGCTAATGAAAGAGCTATCTGTACCTCCATGTTTATACCAGTTCAATTTAGAACAGCAAAGACATGGAATCAACCCAATTTCCTGGCAACTAAAAACTGGATAAAGAAATTATGGCATATGTACACTATGTAATACTACACAGCAGGAAAAAAACAAATCCTGGTCATTTGCAACAAAATGGGTGAAACTGAAAATCATACTTGGTGAAACAGAATTTGTTCTTTGGGACTGGCTTCTGTTCTCCCTGACCTGTGATACCTGAGCACCTTAAAGACAACATGTGGAAATGAAATGGACACTTAGAAGCAATGATTTGGAACAGCCCTTCTCTCAACTGTTGAGGAGCTTTTTATTCTGTATTTTTGTTTCTCTTTTCCTTTATAATATTTTTCTTATCTTTTATTTTCATACAATTCATTGCATGCTATAACAGAGTTAATCATAGATGTAAATTATTAAAATGCAAATTAACAAAGTTAATCATAGGTGTATAAAGTTAAATGTAAACAGATCTTAGTAAAGAATAAGAGAATAAGAAAGGGAAGATGAAGGGGGGTGGGAATGTGGGTAGGAGGGTGGGTGCAGTAGAAGAATTACCAAGATCCTAAATATGTAATTGAGAAATGTATGAAGTTCACAACTGCAAAGCAGTATAGCCCTACATACATTCCTATGGACTTACTTCTAAGGGAAGTAACAACTAGCCATAGGATCCCAAAATCCTTCAAGCTGGTTGATAAAAATAGCGGCTTAAGTATTATAAAGATCAAATGGATAGGAATAAGAGGCAAAGTGACCTTACAGATAGGATCAAGTAAATAGGACTAAGTGTTTGGAAACAATAGAATTAAAAAGGAGTGAAGGCGGCCGGCGCCGCGGCTCACTAGGCTAATCCTCCGCCTAGCGGCGCTGGCACACCGGGTTCTAGTCCCGGTCGGGGCGCCGGATTCTGTCCCGGTTGCCCCTCTTCCAGGCCAGCCCCCTGCTGTGGCCCGGGAGTGCAGTGGAGGATGGCCCAGGTGCTTGGGCCCTGCACCCCATGGGAGACCAGGAAAAGCACCTGGCTCCTGGCTCCTGCCACCGGATCGGCGCGGTGCACCGGCCGCAGCGCGCCGGCCGCAGCGGCCATTGGAGGGTGAACCAACGGCAAAGGAAGACCTTTCTCTCTGTCTCTCTGTCCACTCTGCCTGTCAAAAAAAAAAAAAGAAAAGAAAAAGAAAAAGAAAAAGAAAAAAAAAAAGGAGTGAAGGCTCCACCACGGGAACAGTCCATACAGCAGACTCATAGAATGACAATCACTTTAAGTAGCATTCTGACCTCAGAGTCAGGCCTAAAGGCATTCCATTCTGGCTATAAAGCCAGGAGGGGGGCCATTTCAAGCATGGAAAGCCAAGACACTATGGGGAAAAAACGTCCTCCATGAAGGAACCCTGTGGGTGAGATCCTAGTGGAAAGAAATGGCCACGAAAGGAGGATGTACTTTTCTCTGAAAGGAGGAGAGAACTTCCACTTTGCTTATGGCCTTGTCAAGCCAGTGGATCCAAAAGGCTTCTGTAGCCAAGGCAGCTCATATCAAGAGCACTGGGTGATCACTGATGTCATACATAGGAGTGTTGTTAAATAAACAAGAGACACTGTGTACTAACTTGCCATGCAGGACCTCTGTCCCCAAACAGTTGTATCATGAGACTTAATAGTAAAACCTGTTCAATAATCACTTCCATTTAGTGTACTAAATGGAGGATATTATGTCTCATAAGAGCTCTGAGAGCTCATAAGAGATGTACCATCCTTGGGTTCTTCTTTAAAGATAATTTTCTAAAAGAAGGGGGAGGAAGGAAGGAAAAGAGAAAGCAGGGGAATGAAAACACCTTTGAGAAGCAGTCACACAGAACAGCCCTTGTCTAGACTGCTGAAGAACAGTTCTCTTAGGTTTTTTTATTCCATTCTTTTTTTCTTTCCTTTTCTTTCTCGGACTAAACAGGAGAGGGAGAAGGAAGGATAGTGGTCAGTGGGTGGGAGAGTGGGTACGGTGGGAAGAATTACTTTGTTCCTAATGCTGTATTTATGAGATATATACAAATAAAATAAACTGAAAGTTTGTCATTGTAAAAATTAAAAGAAAAAATAAGGAAAGAGGAGGGAGGATGGGAATGTAAGGTAGGTGGTAGTGTAAGACATTTCACTGTGCCTCAATCTGTAATTATGAAATACGTCACATTTGTTCACCTTTTATAAATAAAAAAGTTTAAAAAGATTACAAAGACACCCCCAAAATGATTTTTGTCCCTGGGACTGTGCATTTCTGTAATGAGCACCTAAATATCCAACTGGATTTGGAGTCAGCAACAGTTGAAGACTGGAAGAAGTTTGAGGAGGCTGAGAAGGAGAACTGCAAAGGCACTGTGAACAGAACCAGGACACTGATACTGCCAGCGAAGGCTCAGCAGGTACTGAGGGGCACTGACAAATTTAAAATCCCAGTGTCTCTAATTGGCTAAGTATCAGTGGAGCACTTACAGTAAGATAGGATGTGTGATCTAGAAAAATATGTAAAATATATCAAAAGTAAAATTCTGTGACGTTCTCCATAAACATTTGCTCTGGTTCACTGAGTAACAGCAATATACACATGTTTGGGGAAAAGTGCCTGCTGCATTTTTACAAGAAAATAAAAATTTCCTTAATATTTTAAAGCAGTGTTTCTCCCTATGTGTTTTTCAATGGACATTTATTCCACCTCAGCCACTATGCTGCACTCCATAAAGAATACTTAGATACATATGAGAGTTTTAATCACCAACAGCTTAAAAGGGAGAAAAACAGTTTGCGGCCCACCATATATAAAACAAAATGACATGAGATTTGGGAAGAAGTAATTACAATTGAGTTTCAGGTTAACATGAAATTTTATAACATCAGAGTCTGGTAAACTGGATCCCATCTTATTTAAATCAATATTCACATTTTTGGGGAAAATGCTAAAGAATACCAAATAATATTGGAAACAAAGGTTTCTAAACACCAGAATATGCTTAAATATCAGTTAGATAGTTATGACCATATTCCAACAAGGCTCTGTGGTCATAATTAGTAAAAAAAATTAGAACAAGAAGAAATGGAAATTTTCATAAATAGGGCAGCACTTTTCAAAGAGCTACAGGAATCCCATGGAGCATACAAGGTCTGATCATTTTAGCTCAGCAACACTAAATTTGAGCAGCTTGAGTAGCTTTTAATGAACTGGTGCTGAAGTTATGAATTCCCTTCTTTCAGGGGACAGACCAGGACACTTTCTGGGACTCCCAGTCTGTTGAGCTTATCAGCAACAGCATAAGAAAGGACTACCTGGTGCCATGAACCTCTGGGTGGCCTCCACAAAGCTCAGAAAGCTTTTTGATTGTTGAAAATCTCTCTTCTTCAAATCTTGTCATGGAAAAGCAGTCCTGTCTGTAGCAGCTGTCCAAGCACTCTGGACTTCCCAGAGTCTAAAGATTCCACAGTAGTCAGGACCACTCACCATTATGATGTCAGGATTCTAAGGCTCATGCCGTAACTGACAAACTCACAAGCTGACACACCGGCTTCGTTGGTTTTGGCCCCATATTTCAATTATTCCAAACTAATCTAAGATTGCTATTGATCCATAGTAAATTTGAAGAATTAAAACAGAGATTAAGAATCTTTCATCTACTTCCCAAAATGATAGTATTTCCCAAAACTATAATTGTGCCATATTATCCTGTATACAATGTTATATACAATATTATAACAAACAGGTGTTTGCTTTTTCTTTAAGGATTTATTTTATTTGAAAGAGTACAGGCCACTCTGCGGCTCACTAGGCTAATCCTCCGCCTGCGGCACTGGCACCCCGGGTTCTAGTCCTGGTCGGGGTGTTGGATTCTGTCCCAGTTGCTCCTCTTCCAGGCCAGCTCTCTGCTGTGGCCTGGGAGTGCAGTGGAGGATGGCCCAGTTCTGTGGGCCCTGCACTCCATGGGAGACCAGGAGAGGCACCTGGCTCCTGGCTTCGGATCAGCGCGGCGCGCCAGCTGCAGCGGCCATTGGGGGGTGAACCAACGGAAAAAAGGAAGACCTTTCTCTCTCTCATTGTCCAAGCTGCCTGTCAAAAAAAAAAAAAAAAAGAGTACACACACACACAGAGAGAGAGAGAGAGAGAGAGAGAGAATCAATTTTCATCCCCCAGCTCATCCCCCAAATTTCTGACACAGCCAGGGCCTAGCCAGGAGCTCTATCCTGGTCTCCCACATGATAGCAATGGCCCATGTACTTTGGCCATATTTCAGTGCATTCCCATGTATATAAGCAGAAAGATGGGTGAGAAGGAGAGCAGCAGAGACTCAAGCCTGCATTCTGTTACGGGATGCTGGCATCACAAGCAGCAACTTAATGAACTATGCCACAATGCCAGCCCCCAAAATCAGGGCTGTGATCCATTTGGTTGTTTCTGTAGAAGCACCAAAGGCTGAGTAATATGTAAACAAAGGGTGTTATTTATCCTAAAGTTGTGGAGGCAGAAAGGTCACGATCAGGTGCCCACTGGTTCAGTTGCTCTTCCTGGCCTGCAGACATCTTCTTGCTGTGTCTTTGCATGGCAGGGAGAGAGAAAGCGCTGAGGGCTTCAACATGGGAATTTGGGAAGACACAGTTCCATCCAAAGAAATCTATTTTCATTTACTGCATTCAATAGTGGCTTTTCTGCCCCAAGGCCAAATAGACAGTACAAATAATACCAATGTTTCAGCACACAAAAACACAGAACTATTTTCTTCATTCTATGTGTTTCCTTACAATTAGAAATGGGGGCTGAATTGTCAACATAGAAAAGAACGTTGTGCCATAGCAATAGCTGGAGCTTTGGGATCAAACCATGTGGTTTTGAATCTGCATTCATTACTTACTGCCTATGGGATACGGGCAAATCAGTTATTCTGTTAAAGTCTCAGTGTCTGTGTCTGCACCCAGAGATGATGGTCAGAACTCCTTGAGGGTGTCAGGATGATTGCATGAGGTCAGACTACACAGAACTGAGGATCCTACTTAACACAGCCATCCAATGAATATCAGGTATGTCCTGAGACAGGAAGACGTCTTGCAAATTCACAGACTGCATCACAGAGGTTGTTCCATGCCCAAAGAGAAGGAGAGGGAGCAGATGGCAGAATCAAATCCAATGAGCAAAGACAAGTTCAAAGCTCCTGGGCAGGTAATACAGGGACATCATCTCATTTCCTCAACTCACTCGGTAGGGAAGAATCACTGTTTCCTTTTGCAGAAAAACTGGATCTCAGTGGAATTCACTGGAAGCCGCATGCCTAACAGTTTGTGGTCAGGATCCTGGAACTCCCAGGTCACACAGCGTTTCCACAGCTCAGCACTGCTCTCCCCCACAGAGGAGGGAAGACAGGCTCGCCTATGTGAATTCACATCCTGTCCAGGCAGGCTGCAGAGTCCCGTGCCTGGCACGTACCTGAGGCTTCATCACTGTCTCTGGACGTGGTGCTCATTCAAACCCACTCACTCTGCTCCCTGACAAGGCTGGTTCCGGACCCCTTAGGCTCTGTGGGCAGCTTGGTGCCGGCTCTCAGGCAGCAAGTCTGCATATGCCACCAGGGCTGGCAGTAGACCTCTGTTCCTTTAAGGAGCCGGATCTGGTGCTTCAGACAGGCTGAGAGGAGCAGTCAGGACTGAGAGAAGGGCTCGGATGATTCACTTACTGGTGTCTACTTGTGTCCACCTTCATGACAAAGGCCAGGCTCTCAACTGTGACTCCTTCCAACAACTTTTTCTGGGGCTGGTAGTGTGGTGCAATGTGTTCAGTCACTGTGCACAAGTGCCAGCATCCCATGTAGGACTGCTAGTTTGAGTTCTGGTTGCTCTGCTTCTGATCCCACTTCCTACTGATTAGCCTGAGAAAGCATCTAGACCCAGCCACCCACATGGGAGACACAGAGCTCTGGGCACAAGGCTTCAGGTCCTGGCCATTCCCTAGCCCTGGCAACCATTTGAGGAGTAAACCAGTACATGGAAGATTTCTGTTTCTCCCTCTTTCTGTGACTCTTTCAAATAAACAAATATTTAAAAACAAATAACAAAAAGCCTGCTCAGGCTGATCTCCATCCTGGGTCACTGTCGCCGTGAGTAACCTTCTCCACCACTGCTGTTACTCGGGACTCTCATTCTTGCTCCATGAAGGGCACCACTGTCCTTTGCTGCCCTCTGCTGATATCACTGGAAGTCATATTTAGCTTTTCAGGCCCTTGGCTCAGGGCAAGGACTTTAATAAGATGAGTAGAACCTGGAGTGCTAAAGTAGGAAAGAGATATAGCAGGTTATGTCAGACACCAATGTACTCACTTTAATAGACTTCACCAACTATATCTTCCCCTCCAATGTGCTCAAACTGGTGCTAAAAGTTTTGAGCTCCTCAAAAATCTTGGACCGCCATCCTGGAAGCAAGACGTTTTCAGACCTATGGAAAGTGCTTCCTCAAAACAACCTTCTGACCACCTCACTGACCCCTCAAATGGATGATCTGATGTCCCCAGAAGACATTGCAAACTGGCTCAGTGAAGGCTCAGATGAAAGGCCGTGAACACTAGCAGCTCTTGAACCAGAGGCCCCTGCACTTCCTGTGTCCTGTCACCCTCTGTCCCTTCTCCAAAGACCCACCATGGCTCTATGGTTTCTGGCTGGGTTTTCTGCACCAAGGAATGGCCAAGTCTGCCACTTGTGTATTCCACCTCCCTCAACAAGCTGCTTTGCCCTGTGCTACTGTGGGTTGACTCAGCACCCCCGCCTGGCACCCGTGTCTGGGCCACACACATGTACAAGAAATCTCAATGCATGGTGGTAGTTGTGAGGTGCTGCCCCCACCCCCACTGCTGTGCTGATAGCGATGGTCTGGTCCTGCTCAGCTTCTCATCCAGGTGGAAAGGCACATGCATGCCGAGTGTTGGATGGCAGAAATGCTTCCTGGCGTAGTTCTGAAGGTACCACCACCCGCTATAACAATTACATGTGTAACAGCCCCTGCATGGAAGGCAGCAGCCAGCGGCCCATCCTCTCCATGATCACACTGGAAGCCTCCAGTGGGAAGCTGGTGTCACAGAACAGCTCTGAGGTGCACATCTCTGCCTGTCCTGAGAGTGACTGTAGCACAGAGGAAGGAAATTTTAGCAAGAGAGGGGTCCCTTCCCCAGAGCTGCCCCTAGGAGATAACCAGCACCAGCTGTTTCTCTCTCCAGCCAAAGTAACCACAGGATGGAGAACGTTTCACTCTTAAGATCCATGGGCAGGTTCCAAGATGGCTGAATAGAGGAAATGACATACTGCCTTAGGCTAGGGAAAAACAGTAACAAAAAAGTGGAGAAAGTGCATTCCTAGGGGAGAGTTGGAAAGAAACCTGCAGTAGAAGTTCTATAGAAAAAAAAAAGAGGAACACCATGGGTCAGCATCGAAGGTCCAGACGCATAGCAACAAGCACAGACAGAAAACATACTTCCTGCAGCCCAGAGCCAGAAGAAGTGCCGGCTTTGGAGAGTGAGGTAAGACTAGACTGCAGCAGCCTGGTGATAGTGCTGGAGGGAGAGCCTAGTGGAGCAGACTACCATTGAGTCTGACCTACAGTCCTAAGCAGGAGAGAGTGCCTGCCTAACCCAGAGAAATATGCAAATTTCTTTCTCCCTATTCTCACACAAGTGTGCCCAGCAACAAGTAGGAGAGACACAACTTTGAAAGTAGTAGCTACTGTGGCAGTTCTTGAGGACTTATGACTCAAGGATTTTACCACAAGGAAAAAACTATGTTCCTCACTGAGTCTGGCTAGGACCATTGATGGGGGCTGGATACCCATGTAGGACTGTGCAGTGCCCCCAGACTCTCAACATCACAGGCCCTGGGGATCAAACTGCCAAGGGGTATCACTGACATGCAGCCTGCTCTGGGAACTTCTCTGCTCACTCCATGGACTGGACAAGCTCAAAAGGGTATAGTAGACCCTCTATCCCCCACGATTCTGGGAGCCTTGTGTGCCTGAAACTGTGGGGACTCTGACTACACAGTAGGGCTCAGGGTGTAGCTGGGTCTCTTTGCCATCACTGTGTCTGCCATCTGAGGAACAGAGCTCTCTGACTGTCTGGGTGAGTCACTGCAGCCGATTCTGTACTCACAATGAGAACTGTACAAATATGTTGTGTGATTCATGCACCAGTGCAGAAGAACGTTTCATCCACTGTGGGATAATTCTGAAAGTACAAACAGCTAAATGCTAATCATCTGGAAAATCTAGAAGAAATCACTGGATTCCTGGACACATAAATTGAGCCATGAAGACATATTAAACCTACATAGACCAAGACAGAGATTGAATTAGTCATAAAGACACTCCCAATAAAGAAAAGCCCAAGACCACATGGCTTCACTTGCTGAATTCTACCAGACATTTAAAGACGAACTAAGGCAAATTCTTCT